TATATATATATATATATGTATGTATGTATATAAAGCAATTGCATACATACCACCACTTATCTAACATCTAAATTTGCTTTGTATAACACCTACATATGTAATATTACATAAAAAATAACATATGTAAATACAATTTTGTGTATATGCATAAAGTTATAGTACTGAAGTGTTATAAAAATAAATATAAAATTTTAGGTGTTAGATATATAAAGTCTCAAGAATTGGGTGATAGGTGTGTAAATTAACCCATACAAAAATATGTTTAATTAAAACTAAACAAAATTTAAAAGAGGAATTTACATACATACTACCCAACTCTTTTGTATTTACATATTTAGCCCCAAAATTTACTTTACATACTTAGACCATCCAAAAAGTATTATCATTTAAAAAATATGTTTTTTCCATGCAAAGATAAGATGACAAATGCAAAAATTGAAATCGGAGCTAGACATGTACATACATAAGATTTATGTGAGAAAAATAAAAGAAGACAAGATTTAAATGTTAAGTAAATCATCCAATTTGAAAGTCTACGCCATCCAATCGGATCTATCAACATGAATAAGAAAATATTCTTATAATGTCAAACACATTAGAAATAGGCAAATTAATAAAATATTTAAGAAAAGGGCATAAAAATAATTTTAGAAATTTATCGCCGTCCTTCCACCATTTTTGGCTTGCCGTGGCCGTCCGTCCACTAATTAGAAAATTTGGCCCATTTAAAGTTGGGGCAATTACAAACATAGCACTCAAAAGATTGCTACCAAATACTTTTTAATCCATTTTTCAATTTCTCAGTCAAATATCAAATTTCATGACAAAAGACCAAACTCATATTTTTCATTTTTATCAAATCTCAATGGTTTGATCATCGCAAGGGGCTAATCTAAGTCAAATATCCCTTGGAGTGGATATTTGTCAGAAAGGGCTAATCTAAGTCGACTACATCTTACAGAGGACTTCATGCTCTATCAAATATTTTCATATACCATATGTATAATTCGTAACTCAAATTGGTTAAATATCATTATGGAATATAAATGTTTCAAATGTGATTATTTTATAATGAAATCTATTAGCCAAATTACCCTGCCAACGAGCTTTGATCTTAACTACTTCTTTTATGGAGATTATTGGTCAAACCACATAGAAGGATGACTCAAATTATGCCCTTACTGGGATAAATTATTTTGAGTATAAATCTAGTTGTATGTTTAATATGACATTGTCCTTTTGTAAGCGTATGTTAGCAATTAATTTGTTATGTTCGCCAAACAATCACAGAAGGCGGATGAGTTTCTATTTTAGCATTTAAAGGATACAATTTATTTCAATATTTTATGTTTTTTGTATTTAATATTTTGAAGTTTTTTTTAATTTTAGGACAGACTCCTTGGGTTGAAATTTACATTCCACGTGACAATAATCAGAGAATTGATTTGAATGCTTATTTTATAGTTTAATTAGGATTAATGATTTAACCATTTGAAAAATTGTTAGTCATGTCAACTCCAGTCTATGTTAAGAGGAGGATTAGTCTGGCTTAGTGGGAGCTCGATCTTGTCAACCCTGGTCGTTGTAGGGAGGAGATGGGATTGGTCAACATACAAATGCCAAAAAAAGTGTGAATCGTGTTTACTTGTAACAAAGTTCTTTCAATCTCCTATTGTTTTGGTCCTAAAAAAATAAAAATCATTAAAAATACCAATCCTATCAACAAAAAGAAAGAAGCAACATTGTGTGTGCCAACTAGTTAAGGTGGAAATGATCTTAAAAAATATTGCAAAGTATTTGTGATTGAATAGTATTACATTACATTTCTATTTTCACATAATATATTTCGAAAAAAAGAAAATTCAAAACCTACAAAACTCAGATTTATTCCATCAAATACGGACCAATAAAAGTCAATCAAAATCATGGGAAAGCTGCTAAGAAGTTCAATAATGCACAAATGCATTTATAATTGCGAAAAACCTACATAATGAAAAATGATAATTTTCTATAGCACTTATAAGGTTTTCAAAATAAAGCTAGGTTGTAGAAATATTGAAAGCGAAGCGAGAAAACACAAAAGAGAGAAAATGATGGGCATAGGCGAGCTGGGTAAATGGAGGTAGAGTGATGATCGAAGACAATTCTCTATGTTAGGCGAAGAGGAATATGATTGGATGATCCATGCACTGGTCATTTGGATGAAATAAGACAAAAAAAAGACAAAAGAAAAAACAAACAAACCAATTAAAAAAAAAAAAAACTGATTACTTTGTTAGTCTGCCCTCTACTAGAGTCAATTCATAGAAAGATCCGATTCCACAAAACCTCCAACCATCTCGAGGATACTCAAGCCGCTCCTTATAATGGTTCAAGGATTGGCAACCAAGCTTGACCCATGCCGCCCAACCTCAACTAAATAAGACGATCCCATCAACTCGAAGCAAGCTAAGCTTATTCAGCCAAGCCAGAAAGCAGGGGATGATAAACCCTTATATGTAAAATAACAAAAATATCGTAATATGGATCCCTTCCAAATAGGGGCAAGAATAT